TAAAAGCAGCTCAAACCTGAGGCTTTCAGGAATGGAGTAGCAGATAAACCTACAAACAAACTGAAATGAGAAGGCCAGGCTGGGATTGATTCAGTTCAAGGGAAGATTGCAGGAGTTTTCTCCTGCATAGGAGGCAAATGGGTATGATTTTTGCAGTCAGATTTGGGGAGAAATACTGCCCCAAGGAGTGAATGAGAAGGTCTCTACATCATCCTTTTTCCTTCTCTTCTTTCATCCTTCATTTATCAGCTCATGCACTCTCTGCATGCCCATGTGTTTGACCATGACGCCCTTAGCATTTACCTGGTATTTTATGAAGTTTTCTCTCTGTCCTACTGCTAGACAGCCCTGAGGTTGTTTAGCATGAGGCAGGTGCATTCAACCCAATATGAGCAAGGTCTGTTTTGCTGCATCCTTTGTTATTATCAAGCAAAAAGGTCGGAGTAACGAAAGGAGGGAGATCACGTTTGTAACAAAAAACTATATTTATAGACACTTATCAGCAAGGTGTCTGGACATGTCACAGGTAGAGTACCATGAGAATATGAGAATCTCTACACATGAGATTAGCAGATTTCTGTAATTATCCCACCTCCATCTCTGTAAAGAAGGGATGCGCTTCTATCGTTACTTTGTGGGCAGAGTGCTGAGACACGTACGGAGTAGCTGATACTTCCAGCGTCTCATAGGTAGTCACAGATAATGACACACAAATAGAACTGGACTCTCCTAATTTCAAAAAAGAAGTTTTTGTTGTCAAGAAATAGCTATCTTTTCATTCTATGCTGCTCTGCTGAACTCCCATCCAGAGCAGAATAGTCCATTCCAAGGATGCCTCTACCAATGTAATACAGAAATGATGGATAAGATCAGAGGGATAAAGAGATTTATAGTGGCAAATTAAACTATTTAATATGAATAACTTGGCTGAGGATGGCCAAGTGATCATGATAACCATCTCCAGACATTTGAAACCTTTGAAGCAGAAAGCACCATGAGTTATGGAGGAAATATTTTGAGGAGCTACAGAATTCTGAGTGGTAAGATCTCCCATGGCACCTATTAGAAATGAAGGAAAGAATATACGTTTCTTTCAGTAAAAGAGGGTTTAGAATGCATGAATTTCCCTTCTCTCTAATACCCATCCCTGATGAAAACCATTCAGTTTTTCTCTTGTTTCAGTTTCCTTTTTGGTTTTTGGATGTTTTCCAGTACCAAGTGCAGCATCAGTGGAAAACAACCATGAACAATAAGTGTTGGAAGGGCCAATACTTAAACTGTGAGATACCAGAGGCGGTGTTAAAGGCAAATCTTTAGTGTATTCCCAAAAGAGTTTGTGAGATGGTTTTGGAGGATTTTATTTTGCTGACTTCTGTTCTAAGACTGTTTCTATTTGCTTGGAATGCATTGACAAGCAAAGCAAGCTATCAAATTTTCTTGAGGAATGAGAAAGTAATGGCATCAATGAACCCCTATCTTTTTTGCCACTGTGTCCCAGATCTGACCAGGAAGACTTAATTTAATCATCCAGGAAATAAGGAATGACTTTCAAAGTGGTGGTCTAAAATTGCCTGATACGCCTTCTGGCATTGTAGATAGCAGTTCAACAATGATTTTGTGTTTTAGGAAAGCTTTGATATACAATTTAAAAAAAAAAAAGAAGAAGAAGAAGAAGAAATTTAAAGCTAAGGAAAGTATATTAAAAAAAAAAGCGGAATGCTTTTCATTGTAAAACTTGCAAAAGTAGTCGAGGAAAAAGATACAAAAACATAATGCCAGTGATAGGTGGAATCTGTTAATAATTCAATGGGAAGAGAAGGCTCCATCAAAGAGAAATTCAATTTTGTTCAACTGCAGAAAACATTCCGAACTCACAGGACCAGACTGATGGAATAAATCTCTTCTATTAACGTGAGAGATAATTTTATGTAAATATATTGGGAGACCTTCTAGCGGAGCTGAGAGTCTTAGCAGTACCACTCTAGCTTGTTTGTAGTGTAATTGCATTTAGACCAAGGTCCTCTGAAGGAAATGGCTGACTAAATTAGCATTAACCAGGTTCCTGGGGGGCTCGGTGCGTTGTGGGGAGTCGATCTTGCCTCCAGAAAGGACACGTTGACACTAGTGGAGCCAGCTGCTCACAATGCACATTCCTAATTGTTTTTCCCAAGCGAGGCAAATTTTATCTCCTAGGGAAGGAGAAGATTTCAGAATCCAATCAGTTGAAGTCTGGGATTTGGCTTTCTTAATTTCTCTCCCTCCTGCTTTTAACTGAATTCAGATTCATGCACATTGCTCCAGTGCAATCGTGCAGTGTGATTTTGGAAGGATGTCCCCTTTGCGGGAACATCCTTCCTTAGAGCGTGTAAATAAAGCAATTTCTGGAGTCCTCAGGAGGGCTGGGGGATGCAGCTGGGTTTGCCTGCTTGTCTGAGAAGAGGAGCCAGCTTTGTCCAAGTTAGTGAGCACACAGATGGAATAAGGGAGTTGGAGTGCAATGCCGTGGGGATGGCCCCACAAGAGAGCAGAGTCACTTATGGGAGGCTGGGAGTTCAAATGGATTTGTTAGACCTGCAAAGGCTGGAGAAAGTTCTTCATCCACGTTGTGCTGGTATCTGTTTTTGAAGACATAGTTGTCCATGGTATGTAATGCGCCAGATGCTTGCCGATATAAAGCAGCATACCCCATTAACATGAGCTGAGGATCTAGGCCAATGTGCTTACAATATTACTCAAAACTTTGCAACTGCTTGGACACGTGTTTTATCTGGGACAGCAGGAGAGAGACACCTGCAACATTTCATATGTTTTCCTTTGCTTGCTTTTAACTCTTGGATGGAAGAAACAGCATTCTTCCTGGTCTTACAAAAGCACAGTAGGATCTCAAGTCTCCCAAGTATTTAAAAGCATTAATAGTTCCAGCATTGGTCTGGATATGCCATCAGTAATTCAGATTACTGAGGTGTCCCTTATGCTGAGCCACAAGAAGGTTTTAGTCCTTGAAAACGTCTGCAGTGGTTCTTCACCCTTCACAGCATGAGCAGCCATTTGATATGTATCTGGGAGGGCGATGGTGACAGTTTCAGACACTACCTCAGTTTTCTCTAAAGGATAGAAAAGGAAACATGGGAGGGATTGGAAAAATCTGAGGAAAGATGGTCTGGCTGCTACTTCTGGCTCAGATATGTGATCAGACATAATGACTTTGTGCAAAATTGCGCTATGATTGGAGACCTATTGACTTCAATGGAATTATTCCAAGGATCACATTGTGATTCTTTGAGTTATTCTTTGCCAAGTGGTTAGATAGTGGCATGTGTTTTACTGCTGCAGTATACTTTTAAAATTGTTATGTATGGGAAGTTGCACTGGAGTCTTCAATGGGAGAAGCAAAACAAGCATGAAGAATGTTATTAGTTCCAGGCTGGGTCCTAGTCTTTTCCTATATGATTACTATCAAGTCAGTGATGATATATTAGAGAAAATTCAGTGAAAGAAAAGCCAATTCCATTATCTCATTTTCCATTGGTATAATCCAAAATAGTATATGAATCAAGTCACGTTTTAGGTTGCCTACAAATTCTGGTAAAGCTTCGACAGTTTTTGGTAGCAATGAAGTTCTCCATTTACATTAGCAGAAATTTGTTTAAGGCTCCCTGGCAAATGGTCTGTTTTCTGTACTATGGAATGAACAGCTCACACAGCCCTTATTTAGTACAAATTATATTTAATCTCTTTGCATTGGATCTTATCAGATTTTCAGATGGACTCTAGGAAAATAACTCAGTCTTCCCTTCATGCTCTGTGTTTATAAAATCAGCTTTATCAACAGTGCATGTTTGGTGCTTTGCCTTGGTAAGCCAGTACAGTGACATTTTACACTTCTATTGGGTAGATAACACATGCAGCTATGGTGATTTATTCTTGCTGAGGATCTGGTCCTGTAGAAATGCTGGCTTTCAATCTCTGCTCTCCATCTGGTCAGCAGTTGCAAAAATCACTCCCCAGGTCATGCTAGCACACTGGCACCACAATTTACTGTTATCCTTAGAAAAATAGTAGCAGTCAGCCAAAAAAGTGAGCTCAGACACTCTCCCTGACATGAGATGCTTTGTCTTTGTAGGAAATTCCTAAGGTAGCATTGCAGTAATGACTTAGAGGTCTGGAAACAGAATTTGGAATAAGAAGCTACTGAATGTGTCTTTGGCCCTGTTGCAAATTTTCTGATTGACCTTGGACAACTGAAAACCACCCTATGCTTTATTTCCTCTTTCTGCAAGATACCAATCTTGCAGTATTAATCAATGTTTGTGAAGATCCTTGAGATGCTTAGATAAAAGAGCATGTTAGAAATAGATGTAGCCTATAAAACAGTGCAAACTACCAAACCCAGAAAGAAAAAGGGGGAAAATAAAAGCCTGTTCTGTTGATGTGCTCACTTCCTCGGGCATTTTGTAGGAAAGCTACTTGAATCTAGCAAATTATCTGTCATGTTTTTCCCAACTGGTCTATGTGAAATCTGGAAGAAATGAGCCACAAAGCCCATCATGCCTCTGCTCTCCCAAGGGCTTCCGTACCATGAATATGCCTATGTGTTATTTGGCATGTTTCTGTTCTCCTTGAGTCTAAAATATGTTTTGCCCTTAATTAGGGCGAATTGTGAAGACACTGTGAAACTTAGTGGGTTACAGCTAATTCTAGTGTGATATCGTGAACCCTACCAGAAGGTAATGAAGTATGTCCTGTAGCTGTTACTTTTTCCAGGAGTAGAATAAAGGTAAAGCACAAATCTGGTGCCAAATGTTCTTGCACTTCTCCTGTAAACGTCTTCAAAAGCAGCAGCCCACCATCAAGAAACATGGTGTACATAGCCCCATGCATTTCAGTACATGATGGCCTGGGCTTTCTCATCTATGGGAGTTTCAAGACACAGAACTAGAGGTACATCCCTCATTTGTGCAAAGACTTACTCTTTTCTATTCTTCCTTTCCTTCGTGCAGACATGCGTGTGTGATTCGAGGCCAGGTGATGACAGCAGATGGGACACCTCTAGTCGGAGTGAACATCAGCTTTGTCAATAATCCTCTTTTTGGATACACGGTCAGCAGACAAGACGGCAGGTAGGATATCCCTGCGGGATTTGCAATAACCAAACAGTGATTCCAGTACTATTACCATCAGCACTGAAGAGACTTCTAGGAATACATTTACTGTTGAAATATTTTGAAGATGTCATGCATCATTACTGCTGTTGGTTGTTCATTCTTATTTCTGCTTTCTTTACTGTGATTAACTTTGTAATATTGCCTAGAATCTTTAGGCAAAAATTGTGCGATCCACTACACATGCATGTAAAGAAAAGATGTCTCCCATTCCCCACAGCTCTATTCTTGCTAATTCATACTGAAATGATTAGGAAGAAGTCATTAAGATTATGGTTGTATTAGAGGCAAGTGCTTAAAATCTGAGCAATCACACTTAGCCAAAACAAAAGCATTGTAAATTGGGAAAGTCTTTCATCTTATCTTTTGTCTGTCAGTGCTAATTGGCTCCCTTTCTTTTAAGAACAAAAATGAAGCATAAGGAGTTCCAGCTGCACATGCTCTATCTAATGACTATTAACCACTAGCAATTGGGAGAGGATTTATGGATTTTAGCACCTCTCCAATCCAGCACTCTCATTAAAGATTTGACTTGGCCAGAGAAGCTGATAGAATTACAAGGAAAGTGAAGAACATGTGCTAGCAACATGTGCTTTGTGTGTCTTGTTCATGCTCATGGGGTTTTGTCATCTACAGTAATATTGGTGGGATGAAGAGGCATTCTGAATGATGCTTCAATCTGGACATTGAACAATAGAGATAAAACCACCCTGTTTCGGGGAAGGCAGCACTGGTAGGGTAGAACTTAACTGTATGGGTGCAACTAGTGTGTAGGACTTGTTGTCAGGTTTTCTCTCAGCAACTGCTGCTGTTCAATATAACCCCAGACTGAGCGGTGTCAGCTCCTCTGATCTCACTTTCTTCAACTTCTCCTCAAAGCTTCTACAAAGACAACAAATTGAGAACAAAGCTCCTCAAAGCTTCTACAAAGACAACAAATTGTCCAATTTCAATACTGAATTGCTTAAATCACAAAATACCTAGGCTTCCCAAATTGCCTAAGGCACACATTCCAATATTTTCTCAAATCAATGGGCATGACAGTACATCTGCGTACTGGAGAGGTGGTAAGCGGACTAGTGAAAGTACTTTTAAAGAAAAACAGAATTCAGAGAACTTCCTCAGTGGTGAATTCTTCTAAAAATTATCTTGAAATCTTTAAGAACATTCAGACTAAAATTATCGGGACAGAAAAATGGTGTTAGGCATCCCTTATTTCTAATCCCAATCCTGCTTGCTGATTTAGCAGGTAGCATTAGAGATGTATCTTTACTCTCCTAGTCCAGCCAACTGGCCTGTGAAAAGGAGATAACTTTTGCTTGCCTTCCTCTTTGGTTGTTACGGCATTTGTTAAATACTATTTGTAAAGCACTTCAGAATCATCTAAAGAATTATTACTACTGCAGTTGTTATTATATATTCTGACAGTTCTCAGTAATTTTCTGAATGGAGGGCAACTCTTTCTTCTCGCAGTATTTTCCCCCTTGAGTTTTCTTAGGATTAAGACATTATATTTTAAGTTACCATACTTGTGGAGAAAGTAGTTTCTCCTGAGATACCGTAACAAACTGTATGTATTCCCCGTCCATATTAGTGCACAGTCATACAGGGTCATCTGGACCCTCTTCAGTGTTATTCTGGTTTGGAGTAAATTGGGATGCAAGCATGCAGGCATGCAGTTACCTAGTTCTGTGCGTTATAAGGTAAATGCTTAAAATTCGCTGGCTTTATTATTTGTCATATTCACCATAGGAATATCTTTGCTAGAAAGCATGCTCTGGGTTGCCTTAAATTGATTTAGCAAATCAGTTTACTGATAGCAGGAAAGTAACAGCATTTTTAAAGTAAGGGGGTTTAAGAAGGGAATCGCATCAATTTAGCTAAATTGATTCTAAGCTGATATAGTTGCTCAGTAAATTGTCTTGGCGTGACCAAGTCCCAAAATGAGTGTCAGAAGTGATATTTCGGCTTTAAAAATAGAATTTAAAAATCAGTAACCTGATGTTTTTGCCCTTGCAAGTGAGTTTATGGTATTCCAGGTCTTTGCAAGTAGATTTTATTCTTATTACAGTAGTCAGGTACCACCTCTAATAGTGAAAGCCTGTTCCTATTTAACTCACATTGCTTCAGTCTGCTCATTAAATCACCCCAGCTCCTCCTAATGAGACTCTTTGATGGCTTCAAGGCTTACAAATGTTTTTAGACTAATTATTGTGGCGCTTTTTTTTTTCTGATAACCAGGCATGAAGATAAAACGACAATTTTCAAACCACTCTACTGTGTGCAGGATTCATCTGTGAAGCAAAATTAATAGATGGATCAAAGTATCAATACAGGATTATAAACCACGTTTTAAAAGAAAGCTTTACATTTGATCAAATTGGAAGTTGACAGTGGCTGTATTTCATCAGCATCCCATGGCTGTCACTGTGATGCTAATAAAATAACAAGTCTGCAGGCATTATGTACCCACTATCACATCCAACAGCCTTGGCATCAGTCCCCTCAGAGAGACCAAATACATGGACCTTCCAGAGTAAAGAGATGAGAAAGGGTTACTTTTTCTGCATTTTTTTTTTGAGCCTGCTTTGCGGGTAAATAGAGAATTTCAACTGTTGGGCTGTCTCTCCAGAGTCTTTAAGAAAAGCAGAGTGATATGACTGTATAAAAAGTGTGCTTTTTTTTAGAGTGATAAAAAAAGACATCAGAGATCAGCAGAAAAACCAGAAATAAAATTATCTCGTTCCTTCAATCCCAAGGCAGTTCTGCTCCTGTTAAATTTAATTTCACTAAGTGAAGTTGGGAGAAGTGTGTTTTCCGTTTGGGATTTTCTGTTTAGTCTTGCTTTTAGCTCTTCTTTAGTTCATCAAGATAGTTTCAAAGCTACACTCTGTAACACTGGGAAAAACAGCTCATGAGCATGTGCCTGCTCCAAAATCCTGTAAATCCCTGTATTTTCACAGCTGTTTCGGATGGCTGTGGAACTGGCGCTTCCCCTTCCGTGTCCTGTTTCACAGGAGCAGGAAAAGGCAGTGCTGATCCCCCTGCAAAAGTTACCATCCCTGGCCAAGGGGATGGTAAATGTCACTGAAGCCTCACCAAAGTCATTGAAGCCATTAGCTGTTCTCAGAGGAGCAAAAAAGGGTGTATTTCCAACCAAAAAACTTCCTTCTCACTTGCCTAAAACCTCGTTGAATGTCACTTGCAATGTTTCTTTCCCACTTTGCCCCTTTCGGTGCCCAGCTTCATGTGGAGCGAGTTTCTCCCTTCGAGCTGAAGGGTTTGCCAAATGCTAATTGCCTGTTAAAAATGTTCCCATCGAAGCACAAATTCAGTGCAGCTTTAGCTGGCAAGAGGCAGCAAGTTGCTCGTCAGGCTCTTGTAAGCCAAGTTACGCAGGTCTGGGAAGCTGATGCCCCGACTTCAGTGGTAGAATAAACATGTTGTGGCTTTTCAAAGTGCTTTCCCCCCCTGGACTCAATTTGAGCTCTTTCCTGAATAATTCTCTTTTCATAATCATTTGTTAAGTAGCACCTAAGTTTACTGGTCATAATAAAGAAAGGTTCCTCAGTGATTGCTTGCCAAATATTTTTTTTTTCAGAAGCAGCTTGTACCCTTCCTTGCACCTCTGTGATTTTTGCAGCAGATCTAAAATGCTCACAATTAATTAAAAATGATTAATTTTGACTTCTTTTCCTGGCTTCTTTCTAATCCTGTAATTATGAGGTGCACAAATCTGGCTTTAAGCCATCAATGTGTTTTTGGATCCCGATTCCTAAGTGCAGAATGGTACTTGAGGACACAGTGGTAAGTGCATGAGCATCACTGCTGGTGTCAGGGAACTGCTCATATGCTTGAAATTCTGCAGGAAGCTCTCATACATCAAAGTCAAACACCCAAAGTGAGAAGCGGGGATGAGAAATCTCCTTTCTTTGTCCAAAACATGTATCTGGTATTGCAACTGAATTGATATTGAGGAAAAACAAACAAGCCAAAAAAAAAAAGTCTTCAATTACTGCCAAAATCCTTTCCTTTATCAATTACTTCTTTTTGTTTTTTGACTCTATACATGATAAATATATTACGTTGTGCTTCATAATATCTACATCTCTGACAAGATGTGAAATTTAAATACGAAAACCTAAAAAAACTAAAATCCTGTTCCAAAATCTTTACATCAAGAGGCAGAATCTTTTCTATATGGAGGTAAACAGCCTCTTAGCTCAGGAGGGCCATCTATTAACCCAATGTAAGATTATCTAGTAAAAATGCACACAGCAAAGTTACTGGGCTGGAGGTAGCACAAAACAGTCACATACTATCATTGCACCACCAGCAGTGAGTTATCCCTCCCTCTAAATGATGAAGACTCAGGGATAGATGTGTGCTGAGTGCTGTGCTGTAAAGATGCCTTTATATTTTTTGTTTCTTCCCGGATCTCGTACAGTAGTTTCAGCCCGTGACTGGGCTCCACATGTTCCCTGGGTTGCATTAGGTATCTAGTCAGTTTAGCAGTGGGTGCCAAGATAATTTATATGCTGGCACATCAGAGAAAATGTTTTTCCAAACATTTTATTTCATCATGCGAATTGATCCAATCTGTGGATCAGCAGAACATGTTAGGATGTTGAATGCTGCATTAAAAAGAAAGGGAAAATGGGCTCATGGTTCAATGACACGAGTAAAGGAGTAACAAAGATAAATGTTTGTCTCTCAAAAGAAAATGATGGGAATGTTTATGGCATACAGGGAAGGGCGCGTGGGGAAGCAGAGGTTCCGCTCCTGCCCGTGCCACTTGCTCTTGCCCAGCTCACTCATGCTCCTTTGAGCCTTAGGTTTTATGTTTGAAAAAGGCAAGCAGTGATATTTCTGCAGCTTACAAGGGCTTGCAATTGCTAGGGAGTAGCTTCAAGCACACGGCTGTTGTTAACTTGGTGCTGCCTCTGTTGAAACAGCTTTGACCTCGTGACCGTTGGCGGCATCTCCATCATCCTGCACTTTGAGCGGGCGCCCTTCATCACGCAGGAGCACACACTGTGGCTGCCGTGGGACCGCTTCTTCGTCATGGAAACCATAGTCATGCGGCACGAGGAGAACGAGATCCCGAGCTGCGATCTCAGCAACTTCGCCCGCCCCAACCCCGTGGTCTCTCCGTCCCCGCTGACGTCCTTCGCGAGCTCCTGTTCAGAGAAAGGTCCCATCGTGCCTGAAATCCAGGTATGAACCTTCTGAGCCAAGGAATCAGATCGTACTTCGTTCTGCGCCGCTTTGAGCAATGCAAACACTGCTGTACCTCCATGTCCTTCCTTTTGCCCACTGGGCATTAGCAACAGACCTCAGCGATGGAGGCAGTTGGACGTGAAGCTTCTCAGGGTTGGAGGTCCTACCCGTCAGGCTGCAAAGCTGCTGAGCTGTGCAGCCAGCCAGCCTGGCGAAAGGCCAGCGTGTAGAGTTTGCACTTAATAATGCGTGTTGTTGCATTTAATAATATATGTTACATTTAATAATATGTGTGATAGACAAGCAGAGTGGGAGAGTTACTTGTAATTTCTCATCTGCATTTCCTTTCTTAAAGGAAGCATGAATCGGATCAAGTAGTTTAGCAAACTGCTGTGGGCTCCAAGTGTTCTGTTGAGTTGAAATTTCTGTTTTAAATTCAAAGGACCAAACAACTGGATTATCTGTTTTTTTCTTTAAAAATCATGGCTGTTTTCAATATATGGATGTAGCAGAATGCCAGCTTTTCTTCTTGGGGCATGTTATTCCCAAGATTTCAGATGCCAACATTCAGAATATTCTGGGAATTGCTTTTAGTAACTAGTAATAGCTTGCCAAAACAGACGTAATAACAAGTGTACCAACAGATTGTCTGCTTCCTGCTTGACTCCGTTGGGGTTGCAGTGGCGTTAATGAGCAGAGAAGTCACTTCATGTCTTCTAATTGTAATACACAAGGTACTGAACCGAGCAACGAATGAAGCTAGTGGTCTCTTTGCCTTTCCCACTGGGCCAAATCCTCTGATCCTTTCTCAGATTAATTTCCAGTTATAGTCACAGGGTTTGTCCCAGCTTAATCACTAAATGTGCCCCATGTTCTGTAATATCTGTGAAACTGCAAATTCTTGGTTCAATTTTCACATGTATTTACGTTAATCCAACAGACTTCATGAAAGGTAATGTTCAGTGCTGCCTGGCAATGAAGCAAATATCTGATACACTGAAACAGTAATCATAACCTCACTGATTATTTGTTGTGATCCATGTTAGATAATGTAAATTGTATATACTGAGCTAAAACATTCTAAAATTCCTCTTTGATGTGTGTATTGACTGTGAAAGCATCTAGGGGTGTAACTTGTTCAACCGTTCAATACCATTTCCCTAGTAGTTGTCTGGTGTTGTTTGATATGCCCTGCAACATCCTACTTGCTCTCCAACTGCCAATCCAGAATTATTTCCCTATCAGTGCCCTGCATTCTCCCTGCCAACCCCTTGTGAACCTCGCAGATAATTTAGATGTCCCAAATGCCACTAAATGCCAATAGTTATGGAATTTAATTGAGTCCTAGGTAGGATTCACTTTGAGATTAAGACAGCTAAGACTGCACCTGCAGTCATCCCAATGTGTTCTAGATGTCTGAGCTCCCATCAAAGTTAATTTACATCTAGTTGATATAGTCAGCAGAGCCTACAGATCAGCTAAGCTGACCAAGATATCTAGGTCCCATTGACAGTATGTTAGATCTACATGGACTATAACTGATGTTTAGATGCCTACCTCACATGCACACACTTACATGCAGATATCTGAATTTAGATGCCTTAAACTGGAACTGAATCCCCCTGTTAAGTTTAAGTCACTGTCTGAAGAACCTTTCCATTGACCATAAAGAAATCTAGACTCTCTAGATTTCTCATAGAGAAATTCTAGACTCTAGAAGGACCCCTAACTTTTAGGCTCCTAATGTTTAGTTAAGAGGAATCCCGTGCAACATGATGAGCAATAGTTTTTCCAAATGTCAAATGACTGAGCTAAAGCTTATTAAACTGTATTAAACAGATTTTGTGGTGCCAAAGTATATGGGAGAATGTGCTATTACGGTAGAATCCTAACATTACTAGTTCATAAATGGGCTGCTTTTGTTCCTGTACTGCATAGATATGATTTAAAAAAAAATAACCTAGCTGCCAGTTTCTGCTACTGCAGTCCATAATATGCAGTTTCCAGGAGAGAAATGTTAAATATAATAGGTGTGAACACAGCTGGTAGCAGCCGATAGACTGGACAGCAGGGAGAGTAAGCAGGGAGATTTTGAGAAGCAAGAGGAATTGGCTGACCAGAACCTCATGAGACAAAGTCCTGCACCTGGGTGCACTCAAAAGATTCAAAATTCAGAGAATTAGATTAGAAAATAGATTTTTAGGGTTTCATTCAAGTGCCTAAAGCAGATTTGGTGCCATTTGAGATGTCCTGAAGTATCTGTTCAGATGTCCAGCTGGAGCTCTAGAAAGGCACGGGTCTCAAGGTCTGTGTCAGATGTGCCATACACATGCAAAGGTCTTGGATGCCACACAGCATCTCAAAGGCACTTGAATCAAGCCCCCAATTCCTTTCTTTCTCAATTGTTTTTTTTCTGATCATTATTTAAAAAGTAAAAATAAAAAATGGGTGAAGAGCTGCTTTCCCTTGTCTTGCTGGGGTAGGTGAGTGTTGGCAGGGGGAAGAGATTTTTCGCGCCATCACGTGAGTGTAAGACTGGAAGCATTTGCTGCTAGCATGAGCACACAGGCCAATACCCAGGATTGAAGGGAACAAGGTCGTGGTAATTGCTAAATTGCCAAAATCCGTAGCAAGCCTGAAGAACAGGCTCCTCTGCCTGAACTGTCTGGTGCCTGGGCTGCTTTTAAAGAGCATAGATTTATTGGTCTGTGATAAACTCTAAGAACCCTAGTCTTTACCCAGGACCCCAGACACAGCATAAGAACTTATCTGGGCTAAGTAGTAATTAGCAAAGAGAAATTAGGGCACATTTCAGCTGTCACTACTCTCGGTCTACTCAGAGGATTAATTATTATTTTTCCCCTCTCCCCCCATCAGTGTCCTGCTGGATTGTACTTCTCCCACCAATGCCCTATTTTGTTGCTGGTTCAGGGCAGCTTGCAAACTACAAATACATCTCGGATAATCTGAATTACCATTTGAACCAGCTCTTCCATCGGGCACCTTTAAACTCAATTCCTTGTGCAGCTCCATGTCTTGGTGCTGCTGTGCTGACCCATTCACTGAAGTGGTCGACAAGCAGAGACGGATCGTGACAGAGAGAAATAATTATTTCTGACAGGGATTTGAACCAGACATCGCAAATAGGACCTCAGTGACAATTGTTTCTGTCTTTTTTTTTCCTAAAGGGTTACATATGAAGACAGATTTGATACAAGGGACCACCTTTTCCTCAGCTTGGCTCAGCCACTTGCTGGCTGATCCTGGCCCCAGCCCAGCTTGTTGCTAAGCTCATAAAATATATTTTAAAATTCCTGGGTTTTCCCAGTTCTGTCATTTTTCAGCCTCCTAAGCACTGAGATATGTAAATTGAAAAGGCTGCATTAGAGAAAGTAAATATTTATGAGCACAGTAGAACAGCGCTTTAGCTTCTGGATGTGTCCGTTTGTCAAGTGCTGCAATGCTCAGCTGTTCTAAGATATCACTTGGAAAAGTGTTAGGCCTTGCATAATAGCTTAGAACAGTTCTTTTCAGGGTCTTGATTACAAGATTTGTCGTTATTCATAACACTAACCAGAAAGCCTGCAGGAGTTGAGCAACTTGTCATGCCCAGGGAAGTTTAATGCTCCCACATAGCTGGAGTTGAGCGTTGGAGCCGCAGTAATAGCTTGGAGTAAATCAGGATTGCTGTGATCCCTTCCTGACGGATTGCTCCTGATGGAGGGACCACCTTTGTCACATCTCCTGGCCCCCCGTACCTTCAAGCTTCCATGCCCTCAATATTGCGGAGGTTGGTTATTGCTGGGGAAGTATTTTTCAGAGCTCATTTAGGAGCTGGCACGCCAAAGTATCTCAGAAGTTCTTTCACAGGAAAGAATGGTGCTAGTTATTACCTTCTGACACATCCCATTAGCACACCAAGTTTTCAGGCGCCCTGCTGTGCCTTCTTCATCTTTCAAACTTCACCAAATATTGCCTGTTTGTGCTGAAAATGCCCGCGTTGGATGATTTTCTAAAAATAAGCTTTTCTGGAAAGTGACAACTAAAATAAAATAGTTTTTCCCACCATCACCACCCTTAGGAATAAAGAAGATAAAGCCCTAATACCCTCTTTATTAGAATTTTGCATGGGAGTTCAATATAGTGCTGGGAATATTGCATATTCTTCCAGAAAATTTCCCTTTGTTTCTCCAGCTAAGAAAGAGAGATTCTAAAATCAGGTTCTGTTTTAGCAAGTAAACTAGCTACAAATCCCATCTCTACTGAGTTCTTTTTAAACTAACAGTTTGTCAGAGGAGGGTCACAGGAAGAAGGTGGGAAAGGCACTAGTGACATGGGAGGATGGCCAGTTGCGGTCAGAGATGGGCAACATCAGTGAAGGTGTTAGCCAAGTAAGGCTTGGTATTTTACTGGAAAAAAAATCCACGAGGCAAAGATTAGCAGCCATAAAAACACACCCAGATAAAAGACAGAGAGAAAATAGAAGCTGTAGCGAAGGGCTGGAGTCGTCTCAGACACCGAGGTCCTTTCACCATGGGTCTGGACAGTCTCCTCGGCAGTGAGTATCACTGTCCACACTTACCTAAACTTGATACTTTACCCTCCTGTTTTCACAAGGAATAGAGGTAGACAAAGAGTAGCACATTCCTCACCCTCCACAACTACGCCAATAAATTGCATATATGATTTCAGAACTGGTGCCTACTAAATGTGTTTTTTTAGACATGTCTGCCAGAGCTTTTATAAAGACGTAATTGTCTGATTAATTACAGCTTCACTGCCATTTCCTGTCTGCTCAGCGCTGATTTAACACCTCCTGGTTTGCTTTTCCACAGGCTCTACAAGAGGAGATTAACATTTCCGGTAGTAAAATAAAAGTGAGTTACCTGAGCAGCCGCACAGCTGGCTACAAATCAGTCCTGAGGATCAGCATGACCCACCCCACGATTCCCTTCAACCTCATGAAAGTCCATCTCATGGTGGCTGTCGAGGGACGCCTCTTCAGAAAGTGGTTTGCAGCTGCTCCGGACCTGTCCTATTACTTCATCTGGGATAAGACAGATGTCTACAGCCAGAAGGTGTATGGGCTCTCAGAAGCCTTTGGTAGGTGACCCTGGGGCTGGTGTCTGTCTTTGGAAGCAGCTAAGTGACAATGCACAAACGTTGCCTTAGATCAGTGCTGTCCAACTGCTGACACGTCGTATGGGTGGTGCTGTTCCAGTGCTGTCACCTTGGGGATGGTTGGGCACAGCTGTTCAGAAAGCACACATTGATTAGCAAACAAATGCTTCTCCAGCACATACGTCCTGAGCTGCTGCCGTCATATGTATACAGAAGAAATGAGCTGGAACTAGAGGCATTTTTCTGTCTTTCACCTAAGAGCTGTCAGCACTGCTCGGAAAGGCATTCTAGGACTGGGAACAACCTCCACTTATCCTTGTGTCTAGTTTTCAGAATTACCCTGATCTTAAAGTTTACCCTTTGCTGCATTTTCTGCAGGCCTAGCATGCTCCAAGCATCTTTTAGGACATCAGCTTTCAGGTTTCCAATGATTCTCTCCTCTGTCACAGTGAAAAATATCAGCCTTCACTTCCTAAATTATGTATTCCTCTGATATTGTCTGATCCTGCAAAGCACTGTGTTTGATGAGAGGTTCTGAGTTCGCTCTGTGCTCAGCACTTTTCAGGAGACACTGGAATACTTGTAATATCAAACCTCTATTTTTATCTGGCCGAAAAATGAGCTGTATAATTGCTTTTCATTTGTGCAGAACTTACAATTCCGCTGTTTAAGCTGTTAGTGCTGAAAAGATCAGATAGGGCAGAAGAAGAACAGAGTCTTCTGAGAAAATCATAATGGAGTCATTACTCTCCTTCTACTGACATTATTTTACTTCTAAGTGACTCCAATATGTTCAGTAGAGTTACACCTGATTGACATCAGACAACATGGCAAGCCAAACTATATTTTTTCTATTATTTGCCCTTTTGGCATTAACACTTGTCACAGTTCGACTCTGACGTAGGACTGTGATGGACTTAGTGCTCTTTGCTTCATTCGTGTAAGTCTTAGCCTTCCAATTAAGGCCATGATTTTTAGCAAATTCCTGTTATGCAATCTTAGAATAGAGTTAGTAGATGAGAGTAAAGTGCTACCCTTTATAAGACCAGCAGTGGCTTATAGTCTTGGAATACCCATTGTTTTAAAATAGGTCTTTAAATCAGTGCCTTTTGAATATTTAGCACATTTGGCCAAAATCTACAACTGTGTTGACCTTTTTTAATGCCAAGTGGCCTTTAAAGAGGAAAATATTAAGACTCTGCATTATTATGATGACATTTTAGATTAAATTGGCAGTTGCCTGCAGAAATGTCCTTACCCCCTGTCAGCTGAGACTCTGGCCTGTCTGCAGAAGGTACATTTTTGGATTACTAATCTGAGATATATTTTGTTTCTCTCCTGCTCATAGTTTCTGTGGGTTACGAATATGAATCTTGTCCTGACTTGATCCTATGGGAGAAGAGGACAGCTGTGCTCCAGGGTTATGAGATCGATGCTTCCAAACTTGGAGGATGGTCTCTGGACAAACACCATGCCCTGAACATACAAAGTGGTAGGTTGACTGTAATGCAGGGATGCAAGGTCCTGTTGTTCCTCATCATTTATAATTCAAAAGAAAGAAACCTGGCCAACACATGCACTCTCATGCACTGATTACCAACATATTATTTATAGTAACCTATGTTTATCAGCAAAGTGATCTTATATAAATTCAGAAGAACCTGGCGAAGATTAAGTTAAATGCCTGTGAGGCATATTGGTATCTCTAGCTTTGTATTGCCTTAAAAGAATGAGATTAACAGGGAGAATATTCCTAGGCTGGTTTCTGGCTCCAAAACAGGGGAATCTGTTCTGACTGTAAATGCTCCCAGGCATCAATGTGCAAGGATATTTCTTTTGATGACAGTGTTAAACTTTCATTGGAACCATGAAACCGTGAACGATGGTTCTATGGATAACTTCTCCAGTGAGGTTTTCACCGTCTCAAGAGAAACCTAATTACTAGTCTTCAAAAGACTAGTACTTATCCTTCCACTTCTATGCCCAGATCAGATCTTTCTTTGAAACCGCAATGTCTAGGTTTGCTTGCTCGTGATGATTTCCCTGCTGCAAAAATGAGAGACTTCATGGGTCACAAGGGAAATTTGAGGCACCAGAATCTTGAAGGGAGCTCAGCACTGTAGCCATGAGTCTTGAGAGCTGTTCCAACATGTTCAAAAGTATTGACTCCCTTTGAATGACGTCAGTGGTATGGGAGCAAACATCGAATTCAGCCCGTGCCACTGATGAAAACTCTCCACTTGGACGTTATAGGGGTGGTAAGTGGAGCTCCTGTAAGTCTTGCAGATGAAACATTTCCCTATGCAATGCACCATGGTTTTCCTGTCTCTTGTCTTTTCATGAGTGATATGATTTTTTGGAACTTGATAGGCTCCTGCAGAGTAAGGAGGGACAGAAAAGGCAAGTGAAAATACATGACATACTGAAAAGTGTATTTCATTCAAAAGCAAAGACAATATTGATATCTGCACATCCTTTTAAGCTGTAAGTAATGTGATGGGGCTGTAAAGAATGCTTGCCTCAGATAAGTGCCCCCTCAAATGAAAACATCATTAAACATAGGACTATAAAATATGATAAAGCTTGCATGTGGTAGATTCCCCATCGGCATCAAGCATTGCCATTTTGTGGTTGCTTTGAGTCTAAGTTTCCCTGTGTTTGTTTTAATTTCCGTATTGATTTTTTTCACCTTCTAGGCATCTTGCATAAAGGAAATGGGGAAAACCAGTTTATTTCTCAGCAGCCACCTGTAATTGGGAGCATTATGGGCAATGGTCGCAGACGTAGTATTTCCTGTCCAAGCTGCAACGGTCTCGCAGATGGTAACAAACTCCTGGCTCCCGTTGCCCTAACGTGTGGGTCTGATGGAAGCCTTTATGTGGGAGATTTCAACTACATCCGAAGGATTTTTCCCTCTGGCAATGTCACCAACATATTGGAGCTAAGGTACACTGTGCTGCATGTGGCCAGTTATAGTTATGCTCTTTAGTTCTGTATAAAATTATAGGTTCCCATAAGCAAAATGAGTAAAACTCATAAAAAGCAACAATAGAACAGAAAAAAAAAGGCTTTTGGAATTCACCTCTTCTGCAACTCTTCTTACTTGGATTTATACTAGAGTCTTGGCCTAGCAAGCTCATCCAAAATTGAATCATACACAAAAAAAAAAAAAAAAAAAAAAAGAAAGGGTTGTATTTCTATGCTGCTAAATCAAACTGTGTTAATGTTTACCCCTCAGTCGTGTTAGAGACCAATGGGAATTCTTAAAATTAAAGGTCAGCCTCCAAAATAACCTAAGCTTGGAAGGACACAAAACTGATGGTGGCATATAGAGGTTAATTAGGACAGATGATCATTCCTACTTAGGACTGTATGATCACCAAGGGAGTCGCGAATTCTGTTCTTTTCTGGTTGTTTTGTTGGGTACAAACACATTTATTACTATCAGGAGAAAAAGAAAGGCTTGTCAAGGAATATGCATTAGAAACAGGGGGAATATGATGTATTTGCTCTAAGTTCTGAGAAAGTGAAATAGATTTTGACTGAACTAAAGTTTTATATTAACCTAATTGGTGATGTTTTTCCTTTATTGTACAATAAAGGAGTTTGTACAAATCGACTTGCCCACTTCAAACTGCCAAGCCCTGATTCTGGACTCTTTATGTGGCCAGAATTATTCCATGCAAGTGAGTAAAGCTAAACCAGTGTTGAGATTTCTGTCCTTGAAAAACCTAAACTAAAGCTTAGTAGTCAGAATGAGGTTAGCTTGCTAGGAAGGTTCATATTTACTACAGAAGATTTGATCAGAATGTGGGCATCTCCCAAGAAATAAGAATCTCCCTGTTATATTCAGATTTAGTGTCATGTTTGCTGTCTTTGGGGACAAAAGTATAATCCCATTTCTGCAAGGACTGCCATATGGAAGTACCTGTTGCAGTTCCTTACAGCAGCAGGGCCACACACTGCAATGTCTTGTATTGCCATTTGTTCCACAAGGCCACGGATAAAACTGAAATAGCAAATCTGCAGCAGAACTGGTCTTGAGGTCCATTTGGTCTCTTCATTACAAGAAGAGTGAAGTCATTACTGTTGCAGGATCTTGCTGAAGACCTAATTTGACATGCAAAACCTAACCTTGCTTGTAGACCATAATGTACAAGCAAAACAATCCAGAGAACTATCACAAGGCTCCTTCCCAGGAAAACAAGAAGGAGAAACTGAATCAGGAGGCCCACACTGCTATGTTTACAGTCACGTCCCAGAGGGTTGGGTAGTATTTTGAGTAAATAAGCAAGAACTCAATCCCTGCCATTCCATCATGTTATCCACAAGAATATAATATCTCTTATATTTGTAAGGTTGGAAGCTGGGATAAATCTTCTGCCCTGGAGCATATTAAAGAACATAACATTCTTCCAGTGCCAAAAAGTTATTTTAATGACCAAAGGTGAGATTTGCAAAGGAGCCTATGTGATTTGGGGCCCAAATCCCAATGCAACTCAGTGGGATTAAGAGCTCATTCCCAGAAGCATGATTTTGAAAATCCGATCCCTGGTTTATTGTCAGTGGAAATTCCAGACCCAGCAGAGCTTTTGCGGAATATTTCCTGGTTGGAAAAAAGAAAGTTGAAAGCTTTGAAAGAGTGGTCTTGCTGGGGTTTGTGTAGAGCCACAAAGTTAAATTTACTCCAGCATTAAATCTGCTGGAACCATTGCTTCTTCATCTGTGGCAACACTTAGGTTATTGGATCTAATAAACATTTCTTCACTCTGGTGTACTATAAAGTAAGTGGGTTCAGATGCAGGCTGACTAAAAAGCTATGGGAGGAAAGTCGTTGCTTTTGGGCTAAAGGGATTTTGTTTGTGCCTTCTCAGATCAACATCTCCTTGGAGATTAACACGTGGGGTTTGTTTGTTCTTTTAGAGGGTAGTCTCTGTTGCAGAGGGGAAAGGCAAATGCATGTGGGTCGCAGTTACCTGCAGTCGAGTTATGTAACTAGATCCATAAAAAATGACCAGCTCAACATGGTTTCAGTCTTCTGGTCTACAGTTCATGAGTTTAAGGCAATGAATCGCCACCTATTAAATGTGCAACTGCTAAGTTACCTTTGAAAATCTGAAGGTGTTGCTTTGATTGATAGTGGGGGAAAAAAACTGTAAAAGTAGATGTATCTACATATATTAGCTCAATATTTCTCTTTATGATAAAGTCTGCCTAGTCCTATCTCTTGAATAACTCCAAGCAGGTGAGAGCACACTTCCTTTGTGATATGCAACAGTACATAAGTGAGCTCCCTGACAAGTAATATCCAATATAAAATA